AGAAGGAGTTTTGATGCTATCTCTGCCAGGTTCTTTAATCATCCTAGTTGTATGTTCCTCTCTCTTTTCTCTTTCTTCAGTGTTTTAAGTGTTTTTTTTTTTTTTTGGTTTGTTTTGTAGTTAATTGGTCAATGAGTATTCATATATAACCGACCTCAACTTATTGCACTTGTTGGGATTGAGGCGTAGTTGTTATAGTTATTTGTAGTTAATTTGGTTAGTTTATTGTAGTTGAGAGCATATTATAGTGTTTAGTTGAGAGCATGTTATAGTGTTTGCATTTTATGAATTGGGAGATTATCATACTTTGATGGTGAAAATGGGAGCATGCAGATCTAGGAACATTGCTTCTCAACACTTTTTTTTTCCTTTTTATATTTTGGGTAAAAAAGATCTTTACTTGAGGTATGCGGTATGCCTGAGCCTTGGTGGTCAGAGTTATCCGGTACTTGTGTTAGTGGGGATAGCAGGAATGCTTTAGAATAGTAGAGGTGCACGCGAGTTGGCTGAGACTTTAGGAAAAAGAAAAAGAGAGACATTTGATTGTTGTTAAGGCAGTAGAATCATGAAAACCCAAGACTGTGTTTGATTCTAAAATCTGTGTTGAAAGTATATTATCCTTTCAGTTGTTGAAAATTATTTCTTATTCTGTAATGGGTAAAGGGTAAATAATGCCCCTAAACTAAACGAAACTTTGCCATCTGTCAAAACATGGCCTCAAAGCTATTCCCATCGTTACCAAATTGGGCCTAATATTGCCCTTTTCAAATAACGGACTTGGTTTTGTGTTAATTTTATATATAATTACCATTTTTAGTCCATTTTAATGTTGGGGGTGCGTAATTAAAACCCCCTTGCCACCTGTCCCCAATTAACATCCCGTGCCACCTTCAAGTTCAACCATAGACTAGTCGTTGGGGATTTTTCATTTTCACTACCACTGGTGTACCCCTATGAGTATTTTTAGCCCACCAGGCACCAGCTAATAGATGATGCCATTGTTGAGTTCTTGAAAAACCCAGATGAGAAAATTAGCCAAAAACGTCTTCCACATTGAAACTTTGACTATATTTTAGCTCAAATTAACTCAATGGGTTTGCCACAAAGTTTTCAAGATTGGCTAATTTCAACTCAAATCAACACAATGTGAACAAGCCAGACGGAAAATTTTTAAAGGGTTGTTGAGTTTAACTAGAATTTACCACCCTCAAAAGGCTATGACGAGTCTCCATAGCGGAGTCTCACAGGTGCTTTGACAATAACGCGAGGTGGAGTGGAGTGGCTCAACGCCGGGGGAGTTCGGGAGTATGAAGGGGATCGAGGCGTGTGTGGAGTTAGTGGTGGAGGGAGAAGTGTGAGACAAATATAGAAGGGTAATTATAGATAATGTGGAAGCCATTGTGGTGGAGTGTAAGAGGATGAGAGGAGATGATGGGAGAAAAGAGTGAAATAGCAAATGAGAAAATATGATTCATGGGGGGTAGGAACAAGAGGCAGGTGGGTTTTAATTAGTGACTGCATCAAAATGTGCTAGAAATATTAATTATATATATAATCAATACAAAACCAAGTTCATCGACCAAAAAGGGCAATATAGGCCCAATTTAGCAACGACAGGGATAGCTTTGAGACCAAGTTTTAATAGATGGCAAAGTTAAACCATTTCGCATAGTTCAAGGACATTTTTTACCCTTTGCCCTTTTATAATGGATTAGTCCTAGAAGAAGTTGTCATCATTTTTGTTAAAAGAAGATTTCTTTTGAGTAGGGTGAATGGGTTTGAGCTTTGAATTAGTCTACTATCTAGTGTAATCTAGCTGAGGATGCAGTTCGTGTCGGACCTAGGACATTGCACTAGGGGGTCAATGATCAACGGCAAGCAAGCGACAAAAGTAGAAAGAGCCAAGAGATGTTACATTTGTTGGTGGGTAATTAGGTTAACTTAGGGTAGTTGGCCATTTTATAATGTTTGCAGTAATGAATGGGAGGCGTACCAAACTTTGATGGTTAAATGGGTGCATGCAGATCTAGGAACATTGTCATTGCTTTCCTTTTTCTCATTTGGGTGGGAAAAAAACCTTTACTTGTTACGGTTGTATAATCATGAACAACCAAGCTTGTGTTTGATTCTAAAATCTTTGTTGGAAGTATGTTACCCATTCATCTTTTAAAATTTATTTCTTATTCTGTAACGGATTAGTCCTTGATGAAGTAAGTCATCATTTTGTCTTTTACAAAAGCTTGTTTGCGCAAGGGGGTCAACGATCTGTGACAAGAAAACAACAAAAGTAGAGAGAGCCGATAGATGTTGCATTTAAGCGGAGCAATTTACAAATTTAATTCTAGTTAGTTAAATATGCACAACTCTACACATAATTAACTTAACAAATTTAACTATTCATAATACGTGAGAGCTACCCAGCGGCAATATATATATATATATATATATATATATATATATCATTTGTTCACCTTTCGCCATGTTACCTCTCCCCCTTTATCCGGTCTTGGGACCGGCAATGTGAGCAAAGGTCACACACGCGGAGTTATAATAATTAATATATAGATGGTAATTTTGTTTATCGTTTGAATTATTCATAAATCAATTTATAATCTTTTACAAATTTAATTGTCATGACGCAGCCTCACGGCGAGCATAGAAGGAACTACTCTTCTGCCTTCTATTAAACACTTTTACTTTTCATGTTTTTCTTCATTAGTTTCCAACTTCTTATTTTTGTTAAAAACAATACATAAATATTTACAATTTATATAAATAACCTAGAAATAAAAAATAACAATTAAATGATAAAAGGGTACAACCCGTTGCACGAAGCATCCAACATTCACGTAGGATCCAGGTTAAGGCTGCACCCTAAGGGGTGTGATGTAGGCAGCCTACATGCTACCCTAATGCAAGCATCAATGGCTTATATAAGTCACATACGACAACTTTATCGTTGCTCCAAGACTGTTCTTCCAATTAAATGATAAAAAATTAGCTAGTTTATAAAATACATCAAATTTAAAAAACAACACATTATTCCTCGAACACGTCCTCTCTTTTTGAAAAAATTGGGCAAATCGCATTGTCTTGTTTAAAATGAAAAGATAAGTAATGCCCTGGATTTTGTGATTTGAACCCGCGATTTTAGCCGAATGGGCCTTCACCATTATACTAAATTCAATCATTTATATAAAAAAAATTCAATCATTTATATAAATAGTTAATTTTTTACGCCCGAAGGGCTTGCTTAAACATAGATCCAGCCATATTAGCATCTAATGGGTTATATCTTTGTGCTTCCTTTTGGCAATACAGCTAAGGTTGGCATGTTTTTTTGCCTTTCCAGAGGCTTATCCAGTGTTTGCCTTTTGGTTTATTTCAAAATGTGTAACTGTATTAAATTTTGATGTCTCTCATGGACTCTTATTGAGATTGTGCCTAAATGTCAATCCCTATTACCATAATTCCAGTCTCATGGAGTTTTGACTGCCGTTCAAATCTTGTAAAACAATTTTTTTTTGGCTAGAGAAATGTCTTTCTTTTTCATTTGGTGGTTAAGGGGGTTGTTAGGCAACTGTGCAGCTCATTGTATTTCACATGTGCAGTGAGTTATTGTTCTTATTATGGGAAGAAGTTTGACCCTGAGCCAGGAAGATGTAGAAGAACAGATGGAAAGAAATGGAGGTGCTCCAAAGATGCACATCCTGACTCCAAATATTGTGAGCGGCACATGCATCGAGGCCGTAACCGTTCAAGAAAGCCTGTGGAATCTCAATCTACTTCCCAGTCCTTGTCGACTACGATATCACACATGACTACTGGGAGCAGCAATAGAAATGGAAGTTTCCAAAGTAATAGTAGTGGAAACTTCCACAACATGCCATTATATTCCGTTACTAATTCAGATGGACTGAGTTATGGAAGCACTGCAACAAAGCTTCAAATGGAGCGTGTCTCTTATGGGATAAATAACAAGGAGTATAGGTACGTCCATTTTTTCCTCTATGGTTCCTATTCTCCTTAGATGCATTTTTCTCCTATACTGTCGTGCACCTTCATTATGCGATGTTATAAAGAGTTCTCAAGTGGTTGGCATGTCAGTTCCGTTACTTTGATCTAAATTCTCACACAGCTTTGCAGGAAATCTTGGTATTTGGTTGTATATATGTTTAATAGCATTTTTAGTGACAACTCTTCTGCTCCTATTTTTCTGCTGTTTTCTACTGCTGATGAAAGATAGAGTTGCTGGCTCAAATCTTTTACATTTGAAAGGTGCTAAATAGGACACGGGTGACTGTCGATACTTCTTTGTTTCCCAGTTATTTCAAACTTAAAACTGTCAAGTAGCGGACATATTCTCCTCTCTTATACACAGTTACGATCTTCCCTTCGTAAAATAATTTGAGGTCCAAATTTAATCTTACGTATGAAAGTGGAAATACTAGTGATTATCATGAGTACTTAAGGGTTATGTTGTGCGGACTCTCTAAAATCCTGCCACACCTGTGTCGGATCCTCCAAAATACACTACTTTGGAGGATCCGACATGCACTGGCGATATTTTCGTAGTCCAAGCAAAATAGCTTAAGGGGGCTATCACTAATCATGAAACTATCTCATCATCTGCTTCAACAATTTTAGCTCTTCAACTATGGCACAGTTAGAATCCTTTTTATATTTGTCAGGTTCTTACAAGGAGGACAAGATTTTATGCAAGAGGGCAAAGGATGACAACATTCCTCTGCTTACAATGCATCCCCTACTTAATACAAGCATGAAATTGTCTGTTGTCAATCTTATTATTTTAAAAAAAAGGAAGAAAGAAAGGAAACAAAAAATGTTGGTTGTCAATAGATCTCATTAATCTGAGGAAACTATATCTTGTTCTTTTCAGGCCCGTTCTTAAGACAATGTTTGCTCTTCACATTCATTTAGTAGTAGAGGGTTGGGTACCATTCAAAGTGCCACGTGTATTTTCTTATTACCGCTCCAGTTGATATGTCTGATATAGTGGTAATGTTGGTATTGCCTTTGGAGTAAATGGCATAAAATCCAGTTTCATGAAATGCTACACAGGTATCTCCATGGAATGGCTCCTGATGCTGATGGCTCGTCAGAAGTTTCCGCGAGTGTGAGTAGTCTAGGGATGGGTTCTAACACAGACAACATGTGGCGTCTAATGCCATCACAAGTTCCGTCAAAGCCCACAGTGAATCCGAAAAATGATTCCCAGTTGCTGGGTAGCTCACCTCATCCATTCGAGCCGGTAATTGATGCAACAATTGCAAAACAGCAACCCCAACATTGCTTCTTTGGCAATGACATAGGTTCACCTGGTAATTTTGCTAACGAAAAAGCCTTTAATGCTATTGAGTATCCCTTCCTTTTCCAAGTATTTTTACGAATACGCTTTTTTGATGTCGAATACAGTAAAGCAGGAGCCGCATCCAATGCGCTCGTTCTTTGACGAGTGGCCTACATCCAAAGAGTCATGGTCCAGTCTTGATGAGGAATCCGGCAAAAATAATTTCTCCACCACACAGCTCTCCATATCCATTCCAAATGCTCATTCTGGATTCTCTTCAATGAGTACACGTTCTCCCAAATGGTGAAATATTAGCATCTTTAGCTACCTCTTTGTCGCATTATAGTTGCAAGTAAGTGCTCCTCAGCAAGCTTATCATAACTCTTGCGCTTTTGTTATGTGCAGATGCTTAAGGAAGCTGCCACTGCGCTGCGCTAACTCTAAGGAGTTTCGGGTGCTACGCGGAGGAATGGTTGTCGTTGTGCTAAGTGACTTCTGTTTGTATGAGTTACATGCACTTTTTATATTACTGGTACATTTAGTCCTTGTATGTGTTTGTATTTGTGCTTCAAATTCAATACTCTTTTAGGCAAGTGCTACACAAGTTTGCCATAAAAAATAATGTATTTATTCAAGTCAGTTGCTGCCTTGCTGGGTGAGATGATCAGTTTGTGGGTTCTTGCTGTGAGAGATCAACCCATTTTATGGATGGAAACTATCTTATTAAGTCTGGTTAAGTTCATGTGCTTAGGTGCACTTGATGGATGTATCGAATAGTAGAAATGACACCAGGTAGCCACTCTAAAGGGCTGCTATTTAAGTAGCAAGTGCGTCTTGAATCAAATTTTTGGGATAAAAATGTCTTGAATTGTCCTGAAGTTAAAGATTTTTAGTTTAAAATTTTAGGACAAAACAAGTGCCGGCTTATCTCATTGCATTCTACTCTTGTTCATTAGTTTTATAAATTCAAATTCGTCAAACTACCTAAATTTTAAGCTTTGATATTGCATTTTATCTACTAAACTAACTTTTCAATCACTATTTTAATAATTTATTTCGAAATCACTGATATAGTGTTTGAATCAGATCACACCTTGACATGCTCATGTACCAAGATTTGAACATGAATATATCACCATAGTAATTCAGCAATCTATTTTTCCACATTAAAAAAGAGGAAATCAATGTACAAATCATCTTGCGTTCACAGTGAGTCTGGGCCCAACACCAAAGGGATACGATGTAAACAGTCCATCCTAATTCAAGTATTAGTGGTTGTTTCCATAGCTTGAACATATGAGCTATAAGTCGCACGAAGATAATTGTACCGTTGTTACAAAGTTCCCTTTCAATTGGAAAAAAGAGAAATCATAAATTCGAATTCATGATGCTCTGTAAGGGTGGCAAGTGGACCGGTTCGGGACCGGGACCGCGGTTCAAATGGGCCAAACAGGCTAAGTGGGTCGGGACTGGTTGGACCGGTATATGTGGACCTGGGCCGGTCTCGTGGGTCGGTTCTTGGCTTTGGCATGTTTAGGTCCCAATGGTCATTTTTTTAAAAAATAAAATAAAAAATGGCTATTTAGAAAATAGCCGTTGGGTAGCCCAAAAATAGTCGTTGGCTATTTTGAAAATAGCCATTTAACCCCTCTAACTTTATTTTAACCCCAAACTTTTTATAATTACACTTTTTTCTATTTTCAACTATAAATACCTCCCCATTCTTTTATTTTTCTTACAAAATCAATATCAATCTATCACAATCTGTCAATTTTACCATAATATTGCACCCGGTGAACAATTAGACCATGAATTAATGAATGTTCTTTATTCTAATAATTATAATACTATTGATGAAAATGATGATGAGGAAATTGATCTTGATGAAACTCAACAGGATGATGATACACCCACTAGTCCTGCTCCTGATGTTAACTCAACTAGTGATAACCCTGCTAATCCAAATGATGACCCATCTGATACTTCTGTTACTGCCCCTACTTTTTTTAGACAACCTACAAAACGGACGAAAACATCTCCTGTTTGGCCATTTTTTACACAACTAGTTCCACAAAATAAGGTTAAGTGTAAAACTTGTGGTGCTGAGTTAACTTTTAAATATGATGTTGGATCGGGGGGAGGGGAGGGGGGACTTTGGCTAGACACATAAAAAACACCCTAGAGATAGAATAAAATATGAACGTATGAAAGATTTGGCCTAGGGGAGAAGTATACCTAGTCCTAGCCAGGGTGACCCTAATACTGATTCAAATCAATTTCAACTGGGAATTAACACTGTTATCGGTGGTATTTTATATTATGATCCAAAAAAAAATCGGGATCGGGAAAAACTGGTAAAAATAGTAACTGTTATGTGCTTACCCTATAGTTTTCCTTCTGACCCTTCGTTTGTGCATTATATTAGAAAAGTTTTTAATCCTGCTTATAAAAGTTTTCCTCGCACAACCGTAAAGAGCGATATTTATAAATATAAGCATGAATATGAACAATATTTGTGTTATTTATTTACTCATATAAATTGTCGTGTTGCTATTACCACTGATATTGGTAGAAGTAGCAATGACTGTGATTACCTTACTGTTACTAGTCATTGGATTGATAAGGAATGGATAATGCAAAAGCGTATAATTGCTTATGAAGTTTGTAAGAGATACCATGTAACTTGTATGAACAAAAATTAGTATGTATTATGTAACTTGTATTTTGACACATCTTGATTAGTTTCTTTTTCGTCTCAATTGTGGTATTAACACCTTGTTGTGCTCATTCCATAGGGAAGAGAAGACTAAGAAAGATATTGCCATATTTTTTTAATGCTTTTATAATAAAATTAGAAGGCATTACTTTGAATATCTCTTTACAATATTTTTGTCTTTAAATTTTGAATTAAAAAGTTTAGGTCACAATTCTATAATAAAATTTACAAGGCATTGCCTTAGATATTTTTTTTATATTTTTTTGTCTCTAATTTCAATTCTAATTATTTTAAAAATAAATTAATATTTCAGCCGTTGGGCCCACTTAGCCACGGATCCGGCCCGTTTAGCCAGGGACCATGAGTTCGTGGGCTCGGGCCGGTTCTTAAAAATAGATCATTTAGCCCGGGACCGTTTGACCCGTTTAATTAGGGACCGAATCGGAACCGTTTAGACTGGCCCACTTGACCCGTTTAAGGCCCGGACCGGCCCACGTGCCACCCCTACTCTATACGAATTGAATTGTCTTGATTATAGGCTTGACTCTACGAAATTAGTTGTTATGCAAGAAAACTAGGCTTTGAATTTTCTTCTGCACCGTTAGATGCTTCATGTTATGTCTAAGGATTATCAAAATTTTACATGACAAAAAAAGTTTTCTTGGATATTAAATATATCTTATAATTAACGTAATTCTAAAATTTATAAGTTTTTAAAAAATATATGTATAATTTTTTATGATAACATATCTGAAAATTTGATTGTAATTAAGTAAACTAATTTTTTATGTTCTCACATAGAAGATGCTTGCAGCAGGCATAAAAGGTCAATTTATATTTATTTTTTTAATTTTATAGTGAAAACGAGTTGTTGAAAACTTGAAATTAGAAATGAACTTGAGCTCACGGGTTCGGATTCAAGAATAAATAAATTTTCGCTAGAGAGTAATTCTCTTCAATAGTCTTTACGTAGGACGAATTTAAATTATTCGGATTAGTGAATTTAAACTACCATATGATTAAACAAAAAAATAGTTACATAGTGGAATATTCAAATTTCTTAATTTTGAAATTTGTCCAACCCCTTTGCCCCCCTAAGAAAAAACAAACCCACCTGTTTGTTGCTTTATAAAATTGACAAAGGAGGAAAAAAACAAGAAGAGAGCGGGGCGAGTCACCGACTAAGCATTTAACAACGTCGTATTCGGGTCGTAAAATCTATTTAATTCACGATAATAAAATCCGCTTATTCTCCTTTTTCGTAATTGGGAGCTCCTCCTCAATCATCACGGAACATAGATTTTCGATCATATAATCACCGAAAAAGGTAACTTTCAAATCCCCAAATTTCACTTTTATTCTTATAATTGTTGTGATCACTAAGTTTTACTCAAATCACTCCTAAAAAAATATGCCAAAATAGTTTCTTTTATTATTTCATAGATAAGAGAAAGAAGAATTTCGAAAGAGTTGGGAGATGAACTGATTGCTAAACGTTTGAAGTTTGGGAATTGTTGTTGTTTATTGCTGAAGCTGCTGTCTGCCGTCCTCTCTTCTAAGGCATCTCGTTAATTAGGTATGTTTGTTTTTCCCTAAGCTGTATTTTGTTTTGTTATGACTGTTTTAATGCAAAAACCATCCTTCTGTGTGATATAGCTGCCCAGATCTGCTATTTCAAGTTAATTTCAGAATGGTTGAAGTGTTAATTATTGAATTTGTGAGGCAATCGAACTTTGTTATTCATGAAATGTGATTTAAGTTCTATGTCAATCTATTTTTTATCACTGTCTAATATGAAAAGGCGTGAGAATTAAGTGTTCGAATGAAGTGGGATTAGAAGCTTTCAACTGGTGGTCAAATTTCCAGATTTGAGTTAAAAATGAAATTCCAACTGTTCTGTAAATTGATCTGCTTTAGGATGTTGTTTATTTCCTTGCCATGAATGACAGACTTGCGATTTAATCTCCATATGTTAAAGAGACCTCGATTACTTCGTATATTGGATAACTCGATTTTATGGACTCAGCTTTAAGCAATGGAGTGCGTGTGGAACTGTTTGTATCTCTGTCTGTGAATTCGAATAATCGCGGGCAAATTTGTTAGAAGATGCCTCGCTATAAAACAATGATAACCATGGCTAACATAAACTCATTTGTGGAGTATTAAATGCTCAGTTATTTACTTTCATTTGGTTATGCAAAAGCTGTAAATAGTTAGGACAACAACAACAACAACCCAGTGAAATCTCACTAGTAGGGTCTGAGGAGGGTAGTGTGTACGCAGACCTTACCCCTACCCCGAAGAGGTAGAGAGGCTGTTTCCGAAAGACCCTCGGCTCAAGAGGACAAAAAAACAAAAGGAGACAATATCGGTATCACCACAGAAATCATAGGAAAAATAGGAACAACATGAAATCCAGAAGAAAGATGCAAAGCAAAAACAATGGCTAGTAAGTATGTCCGGAACTGAAACGTAAAAGAGTAAGACACGACATTGCCACTAGTTAGCTTAGACAAAAACCCTTCCAGACTAGTCTTACAACGGTACGAAGTAAGGCAAGACTCAACTACCTCCTAACCTACAACCCTAATACTCGACCTCCACATCTTCCTATCGAGTGCCATGTTCTCGGAAATCTGAAGCCTACGCCATGTCCTGCCTGATAACCTCTCCCCAATACTTCTTCGGCCGCCCTCTACCTCTTCTCGTGCCCTCCACAACCAGCCGCTCACACCTCCTTACCGGGGCATCTGGGCTGCTCCTCTGTACATGCCCGAACCATCTGAGCCTCGCTCCCCGCATCTTGTCATCAATGGGAACCACGCGTACCTTCTTCCGAATATCATCATTCCTGATCTTATCCATCCTAGTGTGCCCGCACATCCACCTCAACATCCTCATCTCTGCTACTTTCATCTTCTGG